GTCCTTCCTCTTTTCCTTTTACCTTCTTCCTGCCCCACTGTCACTTTCCCCTTATTTCCACCTCTTGGTACCTCCTGTTATCTAGTTTGCTGTTGCTCGGACACCACCACTACCACCACCATGCCCCCCACCCCCACCTGCCTCGGATCCCTATCTCCTCCTTGTTACTGACTCCAACACCCCAGTTCCCCTGTCCATGGCGCAGCCTGCTCACCGCCCCTTCCCCCACCTTCCTCACCTCCCAGGTCTCCCTGGACCGTTGGTCCCGCTGCTCTCTCCTCGGGCATGCCTCCTATGCCTATCCTATATAGATAGGTACACCGACTATGACTAGCCCAAACTGATTTTAAAATAGAAAATAGTAAATAAATAAGAAAAAAATTAAAAACATTTTTAAAGATTGGAATCAAGGCTTTGATGAAGAAAGAGAGAGATTTTATCCAGAAGATACTGATAAGAAAGAATGAAGAATTAACGCTTGTGAGTTACTATGTAGATGAAGATGATGTGGAGATTAAAAATTCCAGAAACCTTACTGGATTTTATAAATTACTGGCAGCACTACGGAGCTTAGAAGAAAAGACACAGGTACAGTTCTCGTCTTAATCTTTGCGTTTCTGCTCTTGATGTGTCCTTTGGAAAGTAGGTTTCTATTCAGTTTTAGAGATACCTAACCTGGGTCTGATTAGTAAACTTCTCACAGTTGAAATGACTCATGTTACTCTTGGATTATTAAGTAAATGAGAATAAAGCTTTTAAAAAAGAAATAAGTCAGATAAAAGTGTATCTGAGCTTTTCTGAAGCAGCCCTTATGAAATTCTTCTGTAAAACATGACCTTAACTTAACATTTTTTGTTTAATTTTTTTCCCACCCCCTAAGATTCACACATAAACCTCAATGGAAACCCTGGTACTTCAAATCAGATACCTTCCAATCGTCTTCAGCCTCTAATTCCAGGCCCAAACTTGGAGAGTGAACCCAGAGTTCAACCAGATGTGATAAAGCAGGCTACCAAGGACAGAGCTGGTGATTTCCATAAGTTGAAGCAAAGTAAGAATGAATAGTATGTTAAAAGATTTATTTAAATATAATATGTTCACAAGTCAGAATTATGGTCTGTATTATTATTAACTCTACTGAATATGTAATAACAAGTATGTGCTTGAAAGAAGTGTGATGGTGGTAAGTTTTAAAAGAAAATAAGGTTATAAATTGATAGATACTATTTTTTTTTTTTTAAATATGGAACGCTTCACGAATTTGCGTGTCATCCTTGCGCAGGGGCCATGCTAATCTTCTCTGGATAGATACTATTTTAAAGCACACTTTTAAACTTCTTGTTCTCTAGATGTGGGTTGATGCTTTAAAAAACTATTAATTCCTGTTACTAAATTTCTTGGGAAAAGTAAGTGAAGATACCTTGTGCTTTCGCCAACGAATGAAAACCTTGACTGTAAAGGAAGAAAGGCAAATATTTTCTAAAAATTGGAGCATTCTGGGAGAAACATAGATCTGGGGAGCTACCATGGTGAATTTGTTCTGTCTTGCTTCTTTCCGTTCCTCCCAATTGCAGTTTGCTTCATTCATTTAGGTGGTAGTAGTGAAACAAACAGGTAGTATAAATGTGTAACACAGCGGTTCTTAACCTGTGGGTTGCGACCCCTTTGCGGGTCGAATGACACTTTCACCAGGGGTCGCCTAAGACCATCGGAAAACCCACATTTCTAATGGTCTTAGGAACTGAGACACCGCTCTTCTGTCCCTCTCCGAGCTGGACTGCCCACCTGTAGATACGCCCACATACAAGTGCCCGGCAGGAAACCCGTTACCCATGCTGTACCGTGCTTCAAGACAATTTCATTTTTGTCATTAGTAATAAATATTTCACAATATATAATTACATATTGTTTTTGTGATGAATCACTATGCTTTAATTATGTTCCTTTTGTAACAATGAAAATATATCCTGCCTATCAGATATTTACATTACGATTCATAACAGTAGCAAAGTTACAGTTATGAATAGCCACGAAAATAATTTGATGGTTGAGAGTCACCACCACATGAGGAACTGTATGAAAGTGTTGCGGCCTGAGGATGGTTGAGAACCACTGGTGTAGCACTAGGTAATGAAGTATTGCTGACTAACTGTTGAAGGTGCATGCTAACCTACGTTACCCACTGTCTGGCAGCTCCTCGGGAAGGCAAAGAGCATTTCTGGTAGGAGAGAAGAATCTGAGCGGGAGACGGCCCTAATGGTCAGTCAGTTCTTTAAACGGAGTTTGTCGGTGCTCCTGCTTACTCTCCACAGCCTTTCTCCTGCTACACAGGCAGAATTCCTAATCGCTCCAACTTGCCTTTGCTTTTTATGATGGCAGCCACTGTCTCAAGCAGTTTTAACAGTGATTTAAGACAGCTGCTTTCAGAGTGAGACCCGTACGGTATTAACATTTGGAACTTTAGTCAAGGTATTTGTCTTGGTCTTATAGTAATTCATACTACTACACTATATGAATATGTGGTTTTCAGACTTTTTAAAAAAAATTTATTTTATTGGGGGCTGGTACAATTCTTATCGCAGGTTCATACATACATCCATTTTGTCAAGCACATATGTACATTTGCTG